ATAGATAACATAGTAACTTGAGTAACAATATAGTGACAATAGCATTTATATTTTAAGTTTATGGAATTTAAGACACATGGACTATATTGTAACATACTAGCTGACCCGTGTATGGTGTTCAAAATGTATCTGAACATTTCCGTTGACCGGAATAAAAATTCTGATTGGCAGCAGTATATTATCAGGTAGGCAATCTACCTGCGGTAGATCGCGGGCCCCGTGCTGATTGTACGTAAGTGTATGATATAACTCTAAAATATCAAAGTTATACCAAGTTTGTGGTATTCCACCTATGGTGGATTAATATAATCAATTATTAATACAAAATCCTAACCTAACCTAACCGTTCTAATATCAGATGAATAAAAAAAAACTAAATTTAACCATTTTTAAATTAGCCTCTCTTCTTCTCAGAGGTCTAATATACACACAAACATTCATTTATATAAATATTGACAAAAATAATAATACAAATCAACGAATATGCCCGATTAACCAATATATAATACACTGTTGTATTTTTTATATCCAGATTTCCTACTTCTCCGGTGGATTTTCCTAAAATTTTCCTAAACCTTCTCCTCGCAATTACGTACATCTTAAAAAAAAAATTGAGCCAAATCGGACCAGCCGTTCTCGATTGATGAGGTATAACGACATTTTCACTCTCCATTTTTATATATTTATTATATAAATAAAAACACAATATATACCTATTTCCATAAGGGGAGGACTAAATCCCCTTGGCCCCCTCCTCTGAATCCATGCCTGAGTACCATTTATTATATTGTTATACACTTATACCCATATACGCCTATATAGGCTATAGATATAGGAAAGCACCAACACAAAACAGAGCGGTAGTCGCATATCGTCTAAATTATAATATTTTTGTAACAATAACGTATAATACTATAATAGTATAGTAGACAGTAGTAGTAGGTGATAATATTACATAGTACAATGGCTGCCAGTCGTACGGTAAAGGGTTATTTACTCGGATTGTCCGCAGACAGATGCCGACGCGTCTGTTGCGGCTAGACGTGTGTAAAATAGTGCGCATCGGTCGCATGAATATTAATAATAATCATATAATGTATGTATACATCGTGTACTGTGCGTGATAATATTATGCAATCCTTAGCCTCGCGGTCTTGAGGGGAGTATGATAATAATATATACGCTCACATCAATCTAAATCTCGGGGCGCGAACGCCTTCTATGTATATTCAACACTATATCTTTTACACATTTATATATTATTATCATCTCATTAAACAATATAGTATACAATTACTAGGGAGTTGTAGTATAGTGGTTAACTTGTACAGTATAAAATAAACACTCATAGTCGTCACAACATTTTCGGAAAAATCAAATTGTTCACCTTTTTTGATCGCCAACGTTTTTAAGTATTTTTTATACCCTTTAAATGACGATACATATACATATATTTATAATTTCATATTCTGATAAGCCGAATATTATTCAGAGTATTTCGATCTATAAAAATCAAATTTTTGACGACTAGTTTCATTAAAAGCTTAGATGAGAGGAGTCTTATTAGTGGACCAATATTTGGCAGGGTACCCGTCTCGCGCCTGTAACACTGCACTAATCAACTTAACTAAACTTTAAATAGGTGCATATATATAACTCATAACGTAAAGCTCATAAACTACTCGTCTGAAATTCGATTTTTGTACATCGAAATACTCCAAATAAGTATTCTGCTTTGGAATAAGTAATTCAAAATGTATTTTGTAATTAAAAAAGTAAACAGTTTAAAAGACGGTAACGGTAAAAATAGTAAAAATATGATATTTTAGAAAAATGTTTTAGTTGAACTCCTTAAAATTTTAATATTATAAAAATTATTATTTTATCAATTATAAAAATATTTGAATAAAAGTTGATTGTTTTTGAAATAATGATTATCTAAATGGATCACTCGGTATACTAACTACGTGATCTCATATGACATATGGTAATGATATTATGCTGTTATTAAAATAACCCTCTGTCATATTCACCTCTAACCACCATCGTTGAATAATACGTACCTATACTGCAGTATGCACAGTAATATATTTTGGGTCCAAACGGAGTTTTTATCTCGCACGTGACTATAGTCACCTCTAAAGAATCATGGCATTTCCCCAATCGTTCTTCGCGTATTTTTTATATTTTTTTTTACATTTTTTTTTCTTGGCTACACCATTTCAAGTTCAATATCAAAACACTCACGCTTTTAAACGACTCGACGGGAAACAGAAACGCTACGTTGCAACCGCGAACAAACAACATTATTACCATACCGTCTTGGAAACTAAACAATTATGTAAAATATACTAAACTAAATTATATATAGATATGTATATTATAACGGCGTAGTAGACAAAAAGTTGTTGCTAGTAAACAAAACACTATAGAACTGACTACTAAACTCACTAATCACTTGGCCATTGTATGCAATAGCTCTTGACCGACTCTTGTCGGTTCGATTATTTTTAAATTATAATAATTATTATATTATTTGTTTAACTGACTGATTCAAAACTCTATTCAAAACAATTTTCAGTATTCAAGAATCGAGAACATTTCAAACTTTTCTAAGAAAAGCACTATAAGTATAAAGTGTACATTGTGTACATTGTGTACCTAGGGTACCTGTATCAAGTCAAAAACTAATTTTTGCCTGAAATAAATTGAATAAATTGAATATATTATACCTATTAATTATTATAATATTATTTCATACTATTTGTTATTAACTTATAAGTCAATCTCGGCGTACCGTAGTTTTAAAGTCGTATTGTGTATATTATTACTATACTTTGTTGTAAAATGTTTCAAGCCCCTGAGAGTAATTTTTTTTTGAATTACAACAAATTAACTATAATCATTTAAATATTCAATTTCGTCAAAATTTGAACTTCAAAAGCTCACAAAAAAAAAAATCGTGCCTATGTGATAAAATTCAAAATGTTCGTATTACATTTTACTTATAAACACAAATTTGATTACAATTCATAAGTAGCATAAAAAGTCAATATATAGTATTAAAAACTAGAAACTAATCAAGCTTATAATAATTTGACCATCGAGTCAAACACAAAGTCGGATAAATAAAAAATTAAAAGCCAATGAAAACGACAATATGTTAATTGTATATAAGATCACTATATTATCCATTACAATGTACAAACCAGTTATTTTTAAATCAAATACGTATTTCAATCGTTGGCTATCATTTATTTACTTCATGTTAAATTTTTTTTTTAATTTAATTGTATTTAATCGTCTGAGGAATATTTTAATTAGACACTGCCATCATGTTAACTTTTGATGGTATTTATCCAATGAACTTGATTGGAATAAATTCAGACAAACATTTTTTGATTGCATTAATTCTCGGTAAATCAATGCTCACAACTAGCAGCGATGACGATAATACACACACACACACACACACACACACACACACACACACACACACACACACACGGAGTTAAATAATTATTAGAACCTCACCGTTACAAAGTACAGTGCACACAATGTTGCCGATTGCTTACAAATTATTTCGTCGTTAATTTTTTCAATCGTATGAAATATATTTGTTCGACGTCTAATCATGCATATATCGCATCACGAAGGTTTACCGGAGATAAAAGGGTGCATATTATACGTTCGTGTAAAGTGTTAATTTATTTTATAATATTGATCACGTAGTCATCAGAATTAATATTGATTAATATTATTATTTATTTAGATTAATATTGATCGGGCTAATGTTTCGGTAAGAAATCCAAGAAAGCGCAACAAGCAATATATGGCTTATATGGGAGTGAAGATGAAAACGCTGAAAGTTGAGTTTGAGAGCGTTATGAATTTAAAACATATAGCAAGCTTACATGTCGTAATTCTTTTGCAAGCTGTAAAGTTCAAAATCGTCAAAGGGTGATTTACATGCAAGGTTATAAAAGTCTTCAGGGGGGGGGGGGAAGACAACGTGCATGCGATTAAACCGAAAAACATATAATATTTAGATAAAAGGACTCTTGGAGGACAATAACATACAGGGTCATGTCCGATTGGGGGGGGGAGGGTAGACTCGTCGATTCCGGAACTATTTTTCTTTTTTTTTCAAGTCTGTATTTATGAAGCATCTTGGGCAGACCGGCAATGCTTGAATTGGAAAAATAAAAGAATGGGGACTCTTGAACTTGAAAAAAATGAACGTCCTTTGAAATTATTAAACTCAACCTAACCTTCAAAGTACAACTCCCCTAACACCCTCAACCATCAGTTCTCGAACAAATAATTACAATATACAAGTATAATATGGCAGTATAAAGATGCAGTGCAGAGCAATTAAAATAAATATTTTTGAATAATAGTAATTTATTCACATTAAAATAATAATTGTAATTAATGTATATTATTTACATGTTTTTAAATTACAATTTAATTATAAGTATTCCATGGCTGTTAGCACTCTCACAAAAAAAACATGTTTTATAGTTCAAAAAATTATTGAAATATAATGGCTAATTGGTGCTCTCAAAATATAAAAACAGTAGACAAGCCCTCCTGGGCTATACTTCTTGAGATTCGAGCACTCGTCTTTCGATGACTTGAGTCTTCCCACTTTAATACAATCGTAAATTATAGAACTTAATGCATATATTATATTATTATCCAATATCGAGACAACTTTATGGTTCTAATTTATTTACAATAAAGAACCATTTTTGATATTCTGATATTATTTGATAATAATATAAAATAATTCGATGTATTTTAAGGTTTAAATACTTTTAAGTAATAAAATGTTTTATGTAGCACTTTTTTAATATCTTAAAATTTGACATCGATTGTAAGTATTGTTATCGATATAATATATGTATATAGAATTTAAAAAAAAAACATACCCTATTTGTTTGGTAGCTCATTATTTTTACAACTCGTGCTTAACTGCCCAATAGCACCTCTTACCTCTACCCGAAACCACTGAAGGGCTGGTTGTTCCAAATTGTGGAGTACGGGGTAGATAGTCCAAGTTCATCAGGCCACCAAGTAGCTGACAGCTGCCCGGGTGGTCCGAATCGGAATGTTTTGAACCGATCTGTTCTGGACTTTATAAATGTATTTATAGGTTTTTGGCTCAACAGGTTGGTCCAGTGTTCCATTACTCTGTAGTAGCTAGAGTGTATCCAAATAATATAAGGTTTAGATTTGTTTGACAATCCCCTCGTCATGGTAACATTGAATTATCACGTAATTATCACGCATATCCTCAAAACCGTATTTTTTACTATTTAGGTGTGTGACATTTCCGTTCACGAGCTCCGGCCGGCGTGCCAAAACCCATATAATCGTCTAAACCCGATAGTGTTGTGCACACCACGCACTTGTATGATGACCTCCAAGATATCCGCCGCTGTCAGGGCACGTTCTTGACGTTCTCGTTGCACGGATATTAAAATCGGCCACCGATTGAGCGATGACCACTGTCGAATGTGATATTTTTTTGCACATGCATAATATAGACTTTGGGATTTAGGTCACGCCTGTACGCCGACCGTTGTCGCGTATCGAATATGATATTATATATTATGCAGGATATGGCTAATAATACTAAAAAATATAAGCAGTAAATCGTATTATCCGTTGTTTACGATCCGGCAAAATGGACAATCGTCGTATACCAATACCGTAGTTATAACGACATACCAGCCACCACCGTGGCGACTACCTATACCTATATATAATATACCTACCTACTACCTATACTATACTACAACACTGCAGCAACGACAATATAATAATACACGCGCACACAAATACAATATAATATATTCTTACGTGTGTAGTAAGTAATAAAACAAAACTATACAGAAAAAAATACAAGAAAACCCGTAAGCGATCCGAAGAATAATAATAAACGGCGGCGGCGGCGGGCGATTTCTCAACCATCTGACCGAGCGGAATGTTGAATGACCGAAATGAAGCGTGCGCGTGCGTGTGAGCGTTTGTGTGTGTGTGTGTGTGTGTGTGTGTGTGTGTGTGTGTGTTGGTTTATTCAAAGGACTTCGGGGCTATCATATTTCATCGTATTATTCACGTCTACTTATTCATTCAACAGCGGTTATCACACAGACTATATGAGCGGCCCGTGGAAATGCTGCGTGCAAATAACAATGAATGAATGAAACGGGCGGCGGCGGCGGCGGCGGCCGGTTCTAATTTATTCCCGAAAAAATATTTTCGCTTTTGTTCCACGTACTATTTACGCGTATGTGTGTGTGTGTGAGTGTGTGTGTACATATATACAAATCCGGCGTGTAGTGCCAAAAAAGAAATCATTATAATCGTCGTCGTCGGTTTTTTTTTAATACATCACCACCGGCTATCAAAAAAATTGTTTTAACATTCAAAACGAGTATTAATAGGACCATGTAGAAATATATTATTATATTATATAAATAATAACGCGCACACGGCGAACAACTCTCTGCAGGGCCTTGGAGCCGGCCAGATGAGATGTGTGACATTTTTTTTTCAATTTTTTTTTTTTTTTATTGTTCGTGCTCCGGTGTCTGCTGAGCGCGTTAAGCCGCACCGGCTTTAGATTTTTTTCCCTCTCAAGTTTTTCGAAAATTCTATACATCACACTACCCACGCGCGAATTGCCGTGCAATAGTTTGGGGTGGGGGAGTGGGAAAACGTCACGTTCCCATTGTTACACATTAAACACATTAAACAAGACGTATTATTATTGTGTACACGTTGTTCTTGTTTATGTGTATAACATTTAAAATATTGATGTATAGGTAAGTACTCTGTACGCGCCACAGAGTAATAATATACATACTGTGCTTATATTTATTGTAGTTAAGTACCTACCGAATGTTGAAGTGTTGCTGCAGTATACAATATTTAAGTCGCGATCATAAACATCCCTTCAGCTCATACTTCAACGCGTTACCACAATAATAACTCGCGTATATACTTAAAATAGATTTAAAACATTTCTTGAAATGTTTTTTGTTTAATTGTATAATATATATTATGATACATTATGATGTTTCGCGTAGGAATATACAACTGTATAGGTGTACTATACCGTAAACGTAATATTATGAAGTATAATATATTTAGCTCTACTTGAACTCAATATCTACCTATATATTTCCCGAGAACCTCCGCGCTGAACTTGAGACCCGCAAAAGATATAACATTATTATATGGTACACTATACTGTGCTCCGGTTCGCATACATTGTACGTTATATTATTATTATATTATAAGATATTATGGTCGCGGACGTGAATGTCAATATTATATTATATTATATACGAATCGCGAGAACGTTTAAATCGTATACAATTAACGCACGGCATGTCTAGAGCGTGACGCGAATCGACAATCGATCGCGAACTGTTCGCATACAACTATAGATCGTCGTCACGATGTCGGATATCAATGTCGATAAATCGTAGCACTTCCGGGCACCTCCTCCTCCTCCCACAGCAGCAGATTTAAACGGTTCAACGCAGTTCGGTCTAATTTCTACGATGATAATATTATGATCAGGTATATTTTTTCCTAGGTAAAAAATATTATGTATCCAGGTCTAGACTGGCCTCTATAGTAGATAATTACTCTATCCGAAGGTACACATATCTCTGTAAATACGCCACTGCAGATTTAGAGAGATTTTCGGTGTTCAAAGACTTTATTAGTTGGTTGATTAGACGCAGGTACCCTGTCCGCTAGTCACCTGCACTATAGTGATATATAATACAAAATGTAAGAGAAGGACCTAACGAAAAAAAAAAATGATGCTACTGAAACACATGACAAAAATTGTTAAAATTATATGATAAGTAAATAATTTAAGAAATATACTCATGAAAGAAAATTACCTACCAAAAAAAAAAATATTTAGAAAAAAGTTATTACGTTCCAAATTTATTTAATCAAAAAATATTGATATTTAAAAAAATTCAAAAAAATAAACTACTTGACTTAGATAAATGTTTTACTATCAAGATTGTTCTTATAATAAAATTCACAAATTGGGTATTTTGAATATATCCAAAAAAAATTAAATCATATTTAAAATTATTTATTTTCAGTGTCAAAAATAAAAATATTTTTTTGTATAATATAATATGTGCAGCCCAAGACTATACATTATAATAATGTATTTTTTTGAATATTGATTATGATAAAAGTTATTCAAAAGTCAGTTCTATCTGTTACACTCTGTGTATGGACAGACATTTTTGGTAAATGATCATTTAAAATGTCAAGATATTAATTCATCGATTTGAATGCGAAAACTTGATTTTCGGTGTAAATAACCAAAAAACTTGTTCCTTTTGCACGATCTCGTATCTATGTTAATATAGGTAATACTGAAGTAAATACAAGTAAGTATATACCTAATAGTTTTCTATCACGTATAAGTTGTTTGATTAAAGCTGAAGGCCAAACGCACATTCGATCAGTTTGATCGTTACCGAAATATTTTGGCTCATTACGAATAATAGGAAAGTATTTATTTTTTTATAGTATAGAAATAAGTAGTAAAAGTCTAATATTATGATTTTACATGGTATTTAAATCACAAATTGGCCCCAATAACTTGTTCAAGTTACCTTCTATAATTATAAATTATGAACATTTTTCAATTCGTTTTTATCCGTTCTAATATATTTATGCATTTTACACGCTTGTCTATTTGATCAAATAATGTGTAAAATCGTTAATAAACTTAATAAACTATATTATACGTATTATGTGCATTTTATACTCTGCGCAGAAATTCAATTTACATACCCCGTACGTGTACACATTTTTTTAAATGGTTATTTTTTTATCTCATAGAAATATTTAGGGTAGGAACGCAAATTGCAATTAATTATCGTATAATAGCCAGAGTTTTAACTAGCAGGTAGGTATATGATAATGTACAAAATCCTATTATGCACTGGAAATTTAGTTAGTACATTCGACTAAAATATAATTATGAAATATTTCGAGTGGATCGTGTAAACAGCGGCATTATACGCGTGTATTTCATTAAAATTTTACGAAACAATAAATTTTAATAATAAATAGTATAATATACAAACAGTAATAAATCTTTCTGGCGCGAAAATACACGAGGGACACTGATTTATGACTGATTCGCTCTTTTTTCGCGCCTACCGGGGAAGAATAAAGTGTAATTTTTTTTCGTCGTGCTAAGTTCCGTGACCGAAGACCTTACAAGAAGGTAGGTATTAAACATTTAAAAAATTATATTTTTAGGTGAATAGGTTAGACCTATACGAATGTTATAAAGAAGTTAGAAAAACAAATTTTCCACTGATCGGCCGCCGCCATCGTCTTCAAAGGCACAAATGCACAATAATACAATATAAATTATAATAATACAATAAGACTGTGAAGCGCGCGCGTGCATCGAAAGAATATCTTAAGCCCTATAATATTACATATTATTATACGATCTCCCCGGTTTAACATTATACCAGATACCTATCATTATTTCACGTATACCGGGTTATGTACTCGCACACAAATATATGTGTATATCTATATATAATACGAACGATAATATACACACGACGCTTTGCATTTAAACGTCGTTTTGAATAGAAATCGCTTATTATAAAATAATTGAATTAATTTTCGTCGCTCTCTCACACACACACACACACATATAAACTCACAGACATACACGCATACAGAGCGCCACAGCTCGTCCTAGACCATTAGGACAGTAGTTGTATAATATTATACAGCGTAGTCCTCACGTCACGGACGTTGAGCGTGCTCGCGTATTTGAACACTATGCGCCGTCGACGGTTTCGCGACCTCGTATCTATAGTAGTTTTATGCGTTCAATTACCCCATTATAGGCGAAAAAATTAGGTAGGAATTTTTTTTTTCCACCATCAAATAATTTCAACTCATCCGATCGCCGTAAAACCGGTCATCATAGTATACGGCTATCGACCGGTTTTCATTTTTCGGGATACTAGTCTTGCAAAATCCACCTGTGACGATTCATAAATAACAGCGCACGCGCACATGCGTCCAGGGCCGTGTCGCGCAGCTCATTCTGGTTTACGCATATTCGCGAAAAAAAACCGCGTTAATTAGTGAATAATTAATTTTTGAAGGTAGGAGTATAAGATACCCATACAAATCCACTGGCCGCCTAATAAGGGTGTGTAGATTATAA